CCCGCAGGACTGGTCAGTGTTTGGAACCTCACGGTACCTGGCACCTCGTAGTGCTCCATAAACTGCGGCCCTTTGTGTTGTCCCTGTTGTTGCGCAGTGATTTGATGTCGCTCCAGACCCAGGTGGGGTCCCAGGCAGGAGACACACACGGATACCTCAACACAGGCACACTGCCCCCTGGTGCTACTGTTGGGGAATCAGCACCTGGGAGAAGGGCCATTCCAGCGAATGAGCCCGGACCTCTGTGTGCACCAGGCCCCTCTGGGCCCATCCATCCACCCAAAGCCCCAGCCCCATCACCTCAGCATCAGGAGGACAAACCCTGCTCCTGGAACTTTGGTCCTCATTGTTGCTGGGCAGGGCCTGGAGCGCTCCAGGCTCTTCTCTGCTGCCGTTGCTGCCCAGCCAAACGGAGCATTGGCTCTCGCCTCTCCGCAGTCCCTCGGGAGGGTCCGGGGCAAACAAGGTGGGGCTCGGGCTGAAGCCACAGGGGGCAGGGGCAGCTGTCTGTAACAGGATGGAGGAAGCATGGCCTCAGCAGATCAGAAACAAAGTCAGCTGCTGAGCACAACCGAGTCTCCTCCTAAAAGGGCACCCCAAGTAGCCTCTGCCACCTTCCCTGTATATGGCCTTGTAGCCCACCCCCAAGACGAGGGAGAGTCCTAATATCCACAGGGGACATTAGAAGGAATCTCTGCTTCCTTCCACGCCCCCCAACCCCTGAGGGGGCTCTGTTTCCTAAAGCAGGGACACAGAGTGCCTGTGGGAACACGGGGGACTTGGGGAGGCTCACAGGCCCCAGAAAGGATCCTAAAAGCAGCTAAGCAGCCTTGCATTCCTGAAGGGGTGGGAGATGAAGAGCTGCCCCTCAAAGCCCTTTCAAAATAGCACAGCGGGCTGGACTTCTGAAGTCAGCTGTCATGCCAGCAACAGTGGGATGCAAGTGACCTTGGAAGAGCCCAGTCAGGACACAATACCTGGCTCACCCTGCATAAGCCACCTCTAAAAACCCCAGATCATCCCGATGTCGAAAGACTGTTTAGCGCAGTGCGAGGCAAGCATCAAGAAGAAATTAAACTCCAGCTTTGAGGAGGAGGGAAGCTCGGGTTGACAGGAGCGGCTGGGCTAGAAAGTGGAGGCTGAAATTCCTCAAGTTAATGCTTTCCAAGGCCCCTCGGGCCACTCCCAGGTCTTGTCTGAAGCTATTTACTTCCGGGGGGGGGGGAAACCCTATTGATCTTCATTCAGCTCCTGTCTGCTCCCACAAGGCGGAAATGTCTCAGCGCATCACCAGTCACGGTAAGAAATTCCTCATTGTTTTACATGAGGCTCCCAAACTCAGGAGATGAATGTTCAGGACCATTTGGGTGAACCGATCACAGGAGATGTGGACGGACGGGGCTGGCTGGGAGACCTCTGGGGGAGGGGATCTCATTCCCCAGGGACAGACTGCTGCGCATGCCCACTGGGCCCCCCAGCCCAGGCTCGGGGCCCGAGGGCTCATCTGTTCTGTTCCATCTGTGGATACTGGAGAGTCCCAGACTGAATCAGCCCTTCCCTGCCACCCCCACCCCCACCACATACACCTGCTTTATGTCTCCGCAGTCATTTGGCTCTGAACCTCCCCCTGGCTGGCTAGAGATCATCACCTCCACTAGAGCTCCCCAGCTGCTGCCACCACTGTCTGGTTCCCTTTTCAAGTTCCAAGCTGGCCCTCGATCCTACAGTATGCATGTAACAGGAGGGAGCCTCAGGGAACCATGAAACGTACAATGTCACGGACAGGGCAGTCCCCACCAGTCTCCACTCACAGGTACTTCGAAGCCACAGAAGATCCCACACTGTCACAGCCAACCCAAAGGGTTACAGATGGGGAAACTGAGGCTCGAGGTTGGGGGGACAGTGTGATGACCAAAATGGCTCAGTAAACGGGCAGAAGACAGAGCAGAAAACCCAGGCCTCCTAACTCCCAGCCTAGGGCCCCTCCACTTCAGCTTCTAGGTCACATAACCAGGAAATTCAGGTCCCCCCGTGAGGTCAATGAAGCCCATCTGACTGAGAGGACCCATGCAGTAAACTGCTTTCCATGAGTTAAGGCCAGAATCCATCTCAACAATAACGATGATAACAGTAATAATAAAACGCTGAACAATATGCCTTGAAAACCTTCAATGAGCAACACTTGATAATCATACACAGATACATCTTCCATATATTCATATAAAATAATCAATGATCATTTTTTCCCGCAGACTACAATCCAATTACTCTCTCTCCCTCGCTCTCTCCCTCGCTCTCCTTTGTTACTTGCAAACCATCCAAGCAATCAATGCCTTGACCTCTCCCTCTGATAGACACAATTACAAAAAGACAGAGCAAAGCAATTCATCTATTCAAGATGGATTGTTTGAACACTCTGTCACACTGCTGAGCTATCCATCTCCTTGTCTAAGAGGAAATTTCAGTCCCCAAAAAAGACACAAAGAGAGGGGCGGGTATGCTGCTCCCCGGCCCAGAGAGCCCCTCAGACACCCTCAGGAAAACCTTCTCCCAGGCTGGTGCTTGGGGATGCCTGCCTGCTGGAGGACTCGGCTCCAGGCACAGTGGGCTCAGGCACCCGTCTGGGGAACCAGAAGCACCCAGCACGCTCCGGAGCCCAAGTTCCAGGACCTCAATTCCTGCAGCCCCAGCCAGAGCCCTGGACTCCTACGGGTGGATCAGAAAAGGGATAGAGTGTCAGACCCAGCCAAGGCAGTGTGTTTGGGTTTCGGCATAGGATTTTGTGTGCGTGTGTGTGTGTGTGTGTGTGTACGCACGCGCGCACCACGTCCACTGTGCTTCCCTGGCTCCAGCTAAGGCTCCAGCCTGGGCTCAGAACGATGGAAATTCAGCTCCCCAGGAAGCTCCAGAGAAGCCCGGAGGCTTCAGAGCCTTCCCATCCTCGGTCCAAGCTAGCACAGCTCCGGCGGTCACGTTTGGCATCCGCGCAGCACCCCAGTCCTCGGGCTGGGAATCAAATGGGGCAGGGCTCTCAGATATAAATGGCTTGGGCTGACACGCTAATTAATCCTGGGGCTTAATACGAAGAAGATTAGAAGAGAGGAGGGCTTTGCCATTCTTAATTGCATTATTACAAGCTGAACCCAAGAAAGGGCAGACAGGCTGGGGCTTCCCCTCAGAGCAGTGAAGAGCCCCCAGTGCAAGTCAATTTCACAGTAAGAGGGGGCAGGTAAGGATACATCATCCTGCCCCTCTTTGGCTCATCCTTCTGGGCCTGTCCTCATCTGCTCCTGACTTCCTGGGCCCCCAAAGACCTCCATCCCTGAGGCAGGGCTAGAGCATACCCAGCTTCCCCCCACCCCCTGCAGAGGGAAGACCCACGCAAGAGGAACCTGCAATGCGTGGGATGGACACACAGCACCTTTGGGTCTCCCCTCCTTTCTCCCAAGGGCACCCTAAAAACAGGGAAGGAAAGATGGAATAAAGGGAGTGCTGGCGCACTACTAAGGGACAACCTGCCCCTGGAATGGTGACCAAACTGGGAGCTGGGGCAGGCAAAAGAGCTGAGATAGAAGACGTTTTGTGGTTTTTTTGTTTTGTTTTGATTTGGTTTTTTGGCTTGCCAAGAACAGCCCTGGCTGCAGAGGGTTAAGCCCGACCGTGAGGGATGTCCCCAGAGACCCGAGCCTGGACTCCTCTGCCTCCAGGTTGGGTTTGAGTCTGCGAGGGTCCAGGCATGGATTGAAAGACCCCAGCGTGGGCAGCGCTTGGGACTGCGCTCTACCCCCATCCCGATAGATATTGAGTTCAAGAGATTGTGGGAACCAAGAGCGAGCCACGAAGACAGACCCCCCACCCCCAGCTTCCAAACCGCCTCCTAGGAAAACCTCAAGTACGGAAACCAAGCCCGATCTCGGTTCCCTGTACCCCATCACGCCTCTAGCAGTCCGCGCCCGCTCCTGGGGAAGTGCCACAAAGGAGGAAGGTGGCCCTGGCTCAGCAGAGCTCTGCCCGCCTGGTGCCAGATGCTGGTGGTGGCGCCTCAAGAACCCAGGCGGCCCAGGTCTCCGGCTTGTCAGCAGGCGCAGGCCCTGCGTGGCCGAGGCTCCCGCGTGGCCAGGCCGGACCCAGCCCTGGCCGGGCGCGGACCTCACACCCGGAGAGCCCCCGCACTGCCCAGAGTGCTGCCCACAGGGCGCCTGGGGCGACCACAACAAAGTTAAAAGCCCGGAGTGAGAGAAGAGAGCGGAGACGCGGAAGCCCCAGAAAGCCGCGCGCAGCCCCGCCAGACGCCGCCAGCTGCGGAGGGATTTCGGCTAACTTTAAAAGCCGCTCGGATCGCTCCCGCCGCCTTCCCCGCCGCGGTGGGCAGGCTCGGTCGCTCCCTTCCCCCCAGCCGCGGGCGACCGCAGGAGCGACCGGCGGGGGGCTGCCCCTCTTCTGCCCTAAGCCGCCCGGCCGCATGGGGCCCCCCCCCCGAGGCCGTGGGCGGCCGCCGGGAGAGGAGACCCAATGCCCCCGTCCTGCGAAGCCGTCGCCCGCGTCCCCGCCGCGGCCGCTGGAGCCGTGCCCCCGATGGGGGCGAGGGGCCTGCCGGGAGCCAGGAGGGGAGAGAAGTTGGCGCCTTCCCCAGGGTTCCCGCTCCGCGGAGAAGCCGGGTCCAGAACTCGGTCTGAAGCCGGTCATGCTGGCAGTAGCCGGGAAATGCGCCCGCCACTCGGGTTGGGGCTGGAACGCTTCGCTACTCTCAGCCAGATCTGGCCTCTCTCGAGCGCGCCAAGGGCCCCTCGCCCGCCGCGGCCCGGCAGCCTCCTCCCCACTAAGTAAGGCCCCGTGACCCTGGCTTTGGAACTTTGTCCTCACCGGGACGAGGTCCCGGTGGTCACCCGGCCCCGGCAGCCCGGAGAGGTCGGGAAAATCTCTGGGGATCGCGTTCATTCCCCCCCATTCCCGCCCCCGCCCGGGGCGCACAGAGACCCCCGGCTCCGGGGAGCCCTTACCGATCCGGATGACGTGAGGCATCCCGCGCGAGTCCGGGATCCAGAAGGCGCACACGAGGAGCCCGGCCCAGTATTCCCAAACCAGACTCCGGAGGCGCCGCCAGGGAGCGGTCATCGTTGGGCGCCGCCGAGCGTGCCCGGGGCGCGGCCGTGGCGGGCTCCCTGGGGCGGCAGCTCTAGGCGCGGGCGCGCAGCAGCCCCCGAGGCGCCGCCTGGCCCAGCTGCCCGGCTCCCAAGCGCCGCTGCGAGTGGGGGGCGCCCCGCGGCGCCGCGCACATCTTACTGGGGGGCCGCCCCGCCGGCGCCCGCCCCGCCCGGCTGCCGCCCACGGGCCGCCCGCGAGCGAGGCTCCTGGGCTCCGCCCGGGCTCCGCTCGGACTCCGCTCCGGCTAGCGTCGGCTAGGCTCCCGCGCGGGCTCCCACCTGCCCTGGCTGCCGGGCGCTGGCGGGCGGGCTGCACGCTTCTCCGGCCGCTCCTCCTCCAGCCGCCGCCAATGCTATCGCCCGGGCTCGCACAAAGCCCCGGAGTGGAGTTGCACGCGCGCACACACTCCCTCCCAGCCCCCTCCCCGCGCCCTGCCTCCCGCCTCCCGCGCCGCCCGCCGCCCGCGCTCCCTCCGCGCACTCCCCCGCGCACACACACTTCACACTCACGCCCGCCGAGGCGTACACTCGCGCGCTCACACCTGCGCAGGGGGCGGGGAAGGGGACCCTGGACCCGGTTTAGGGGGACGCCCGGAGAACGAGGACTCTCCTCGCTTCCCAGATGTCCCCATCCGCCCTGCCGCCCCCAGTCCCTTCAACGGCGAGGGCACGGAGCCTGGGAGCCGGGCGTGGAGCAAGAGAGCTGGCACCGCGAGCTGGGCGACGGCGGCAGCCTAGCGGCCCGACCAGCTGGAGGAGACGCGCCCGCGGGAGCAGAGGGACGCGGAGTCCGCCGTCTGCGGAGTCTCGCCTTTCAGATCTCACGCCGCGGGCGCAGGCTGGACGGCGGCGGCCAGAGACCGACCCAGAAACCGGTTGCCCTCCCGAAGCCCAGCCCTCGGGGAGGCAGAGTTGGGGCTGGGGCTCCTCCGGGGAGACAGATTTCAAAGAGACTTGTGCACGCTGGGCTCGGGGAGCTGCAGGATCTGGTAGGGGTGGGACTGCCCAGGCCAGACCCTCTGCCGTGGAAGGCAACACTTGACGGCGCCCTGCAGCCACAGGGCTTTCCGAGGAAAACGGTTAAATCCTTAGACTCCGAGGGCATCTGAAATGCACCCTGGTACTTCCCATCCCTTGTCTTCCCCCAGCTGTGCAGGAGGAGCTACCTTCTTTCCCTTTCCCCCTGAGAAAGAATGAAGAGAAACTGTCATTTCCATGGGATGGAGCAAGACCCATGGGGGAGCAAGCTAGAAAGGGTTAAAAAGAAAAAAAAAAAACCTTGTTTATTAGCAATAATAAATTTTTTTTTCAAGTGGCGCTGGGTGTCGAGGGAAAGGAAAGGCTGTGGAGCGAGTCTGGAGCAGGAGGCTGGGAATTTCGCAGTTAGGCGAGTTTAATGACCTTTTTGACAGAGACAAAGCGGTGCCGATACAGTAGATAAATAAACGGATCTGTCACCGGGCAGCGGCTAGGCTGTGTGTGAATTTATTTTTCTCATTTAAATAGTTTGATCTATTCCATCATTCCCAATCTCTCCCATTTGCCAGCTGTCTGGTAAGAGCATGGTCCCTAACATCTGAAAAGCATATCTTTAATTTTCTTGCAAATAGACTATCGGTCCAGCTCTATCCCGGCTGTTAATTTCCCCATCTTTTCTTTCCCTTCCTTTCTGGAAGTAAGGGACTTGCAGCGTGGCCAATCCTGCCAATTGCAAGGGGACTCCCTCCCACCTGACAGGGAAGGGGGGGCGGAGGATTCCTGGGGCTCTTCTGAGAAGGCCAAGAGGTGTGCGGGTCTTGAGGCCATCCTCAAAGACCCGACAGCAAAGAGAGGATACCGAGCCACCTTCTTTGCCAGACTTGGGCCTTCCTCACCCGGGAGCCGGAGCCTCTGGTTTCCTAAGCAGCCACTGGAAAATGTTGCCCGAGAGACCAGAGGGAAGGGCATGCAAACCAGAGCCAGAGAGGCAGCTGCCACCTCTTGATAGAGAGTTCTGGGCCCCAGTGGGCACCAGCAAGGAGGAAGCACAGCAGAGGAGAGCAGAAGGCCCCACCCTCCAGGATAAAGCTGGGGGCATGGGGCGGGGCCGGGAGGGGAGCCTCTTCATTGAAGACAGGACACCCCATCCCCATCACCTGGTTTAGTTGCTCCAAGGAACCAAAAAGTCCTGGCTCTTCTCTAACGAAGGGGATCCCAGTGTCCTGATGGGGGAAGGGAAAGGGGATTGCAGGACCTGAACTCAAGGCAAAGGACGCAAGGCTCACAAGGCACCACCAAGGGTGCCCAAGGATGGTTAGGTGTTGGGGTGGAGGGGAGAGCCTGGATGCTGATTCTGTCTGGTGGTCCTGCAAGCAGCCTCTTGCCAGGAGAGGGGTAGGGTGCAGTGAAGAAGTGGCCTGGCAGGGAAACTGCAGAAGCAGAAGGGGAGAGGGGTGACTCCGGGGAAGGGGCAGATCTGCACCCTACATGAAAGCCTGTGAAAGGTCAGTGGGAGGGAGGGAGGGATGAAAGCTGGGGAGCAGCAGAAGGAGCGGCCTCCAGGAAAGCCAGCACCAGAGAGGTACTAGAGAAGTGAATGGATGAAGGCAGAGGGGGAATCAGAGGCCCCCAGGCCATGATGCTACCCTGGCCCCTGCAGGCCCCTGGCCAGGTCCAGGGAACAGCAGGAGCTGGGCCTGGCTCCTGCCGCATCCCAGAGTGGGCGGGTGTTCGCCGGCGCTGTGGAAGGAGGCTTCCCTCTGCTGCCTTTGGCTGCGGTGGGAAACAGCCTCCAGCCGCGGAGGCTGCGGGGCTCTGTCACTGGGGCCCGCCACCCAGGGGGAGGCCTGGGGTCAGAGGGAAGCTGGCTGTCCCTGGTCCAGACCTGGGCCTTATTGTGGACATGGCGGCAAGCCCTTTTGTACCACACAGCAGTCTTCCCAAATTGACAGCAGCCTGCTGCTCCCTTCCAGTCTGGGGAAGGGTGGGATGCGAGACAACAAAAACAACAGCAATGATAATAATGACCACCAGTATTTATCACAGGTCTTCTGTATTCCAGATGGTGTGTCACTCCCTCTAACCCCCTGCACAGCCCGCTAGGTTAGGGTCCCTGCGATCTGCACATTTTACAGTGAAGACTCTGAGCCTCAGGGAGGTTGGGACGGCCAAAGTCACACAGCTACTCTGTGACCTTCCTCCTTCGCCCTTCCCTTCCTCCCTCCTCCCACCCTCACCCCTCCCTCCTTCCCTTCCTCCTTCCCCTCCCTCCCTTTCTCCCTCCCCTCCCTCCTCCCTCCATTCCTCCCTCCCTCCCTTCTTTCCTCCCACCCTCCCTCCTCCTTCCCTCCCTTCCCTCCTCCCTCCCTCCCTCCCTTCTTCCTTCCTTCCTCTCTTCCTTCCCCCTCCCTCCTCCCTCCCTCCCCCCTCCCTCCTCCCTCCCTCCCTTCTTTCTTGCCCCCTTCTTCCTTCCTTCCTACAGTACTTATTGGCTATCGCTGCCCGGTGCTGTGGGTGAGGAGCCAGGATCTGCATGTGGCCCTGTCTGCCTTGTAAGCTGGCAAGCTGGACCCTTGTCCTGTCCTGCCTGGACTGACCAGGAGACAGGCTCTAGCAGAGGATCCCCTCAGCTCTGCTAGAGGCCCACTGGGGCTTCTGGCTGCTCATACGTAGAAAGGCTAAGAGTACAATAGGATTTGGGCCCTTTCCTAGAGCAAACTGGAGCACCCCCAAGCTCAGGAGGAGAAGCCCAAAGCCCCCTCTCCCTGGGGCAGTGCACCTCTCCAAGCTATCTTGCCACCAGCAGGGACCCAGGCTGGCAGGCCCTCAAGCTGCATCCCCTGGGATGGAGGGAGCCACCAATCCTGGCTTTTCGAATTGTTGGTAAACAAGTCTACCCACCAGCCAGGCCTCGGCTCCTCACTCCCCCACGAGGCAGCCAACGCTGGATTTATGAGGCCTCCGAACCTCATTCAGACTAATGCAGCTTTTCATTCCAAAATAAAAGGGGCCGCTGTCTGAAAGGACAAGTGCTCCTGCATTTCATTAACATCCCCGAAAATGGCTGAGCTGGCCCAAGTCGCTGCCAGCGAGATTCATGTCTCCCACTGGCTCACAGGTGGGGGTAGGGAAGAAGAAGCCCTAGACGCTGGCCCCTCCCGGCCCCTTGGCTTCTGCTGGGGTGGGAGGAGACTCCCAGTGGTGGTCAGGCGGCCTCATCTGGACAAGTCCCCTGTGTGTGCGTTTTGTTTAGACCCATACACTCCAGCCCTCAATCCCCCCACAATCACGGTGAGTGATGAGGCCCTGGGCTCGAGTTACCGAGATTCATGGTCTCCGCTTCCCAGGGAAACCACGGAGCACCGGCTTGCGGTTGCTGAGTGCAGATTCCTAGCGCTTGAGTGCCCTCTGCTGAAGCCTGCCTACTGTCATCTCCCTTCAGGCTGCCCGGCGGGCTGGCTGCTGGTGGCAGCTGGACGCTGAAGCCAGGGTTCCAGCCCCTCCTCCAAGTGCCCCAGTGCCCGCAGGCAACGCCATGGCTATGCAGACCTGCCCTCCGGGTGCCTCGGGGAGAGTGAGGGGACGGGCTGCCTCGTCCCCTCTCACCCCAGAGGGGGCCTGGACCAGAAGGAGGCCACTGCCAGCCCTGACCGGATCTTTGCCACCTGCCCGAGCAGGGAGGAGGAGGGAGATGCCTTTCTCAGAGCCGCTCTTCACTTGCCGGCATTCTCTCCACGGCAAAGTTGGTGCAACCACAAAAGCCAAACCTCTGCCCTGTCCAGGACACTGAGACTTGCCTCTGGGCCCAGGGACAGAAGACCCTTTCAGCAGCCCGGGGCCTTCGTCCTTCGTCCCCGTCCCAGGAAGGAAGAAACACGGCAGCGGGTGGCTGCCAGCCAAGCAAGCAACAAGCCCCGCAAAGGTTGTAGCGCCTTAGATTTTTGTCAACAGTCAAGCAAGTTCATTCCCACTGAAGTCAATTCCTGTGTTTAT